CTTCTGCTGAACTGTTCGATATATATGAATGAGGTTTTTTGTAGACGACGTATGCTGCATAATTTCTAAGCGCGGAGTTAGAGTTCGTTATTGTCTCATCTTGAATTTAATCAATGAGGCGCCAAAATTGAATATTCTCATGTTTGCACATGAATTTCTTCTCGTTTTTTTCCAGATCATTTTCATGGCTTTATGACAGTATTATCGCACCAACAAGAAAAGTCACTGCCAAGGATTATTTTAATACGAGGTTTATGTTTTACCAAGAAGGCTATAATCCGGAGTGTCTGGCAGTGTCATGTGGAATTAGGCGAATATTTTCAGAGAAAATATACTCTTCTTCTCTCAGTTTAGGAGTCATGTAAACTTGCTAGCCGCATTGGTCATCTATCTATCTATATTTCAACCAGGAACATACTAATGCGCTAGTGCATAGAGCTTTACCTGATTTTATATACAATTGTTCATGTAAAATACATCAGTGTGAAGTTTTGTCCTATAAAAGAGACCGAATCTGCGTTCATAAATCAGTTACATTCAAATCGTTGAACTGAACACAAGTTTGTTTTAGTGTTATTGGACGTTATATCTAAGAGTGGTTGCTCTGGAATTTATATTTTGGAAAATTATTCAAAAAATAATTATAAAGAAATTGGAGTCGATTGCTAATTTGTTTAGCAAAGTTCTGTGAATCAAAATTGAAGCCGGAAAGTGAAATTGTATTAAAATGTTAGTATTTTAGTGATGGTGAATTTGCCAGAATTTTATTGAAAGAATTTGAATATGATCCAGATTCTCAATGCTCAATGACATTATCATCAGTCGTTTTGAAGAAAAAGAACTGTTTTAATTGAAATGGTCTATTTCAAAAAGGGTTTCCAGACCTTTCCCAATTTTTGCTCGACTCATTCAATACAAAACATTTAACATAACTTAAAAATCAATTTAGTTTCCAGCTTGAGGTGACGAATTGTTTGGTGATGGCCAATAAAAAGAAGCGACGATGTCAAACACCGAAGCGAAACAACCGAGCAAAGCGACAACGACAAGCAAATGACAATGAAGTGGCGTGTGCTACAAAGATTGTAGACGTTAACAACGATTGCCTTGAGCATGTGTTCAACCACTTGAGTCTGATGGAGCTGATCGATGTGGCTAGCGCGAACAAACATCTTGGACAAGCTGCAGCCCCTGTTTTTTTTCCGCAAATATGGAAGGAGGACGGTGGCGATCTGGGCCCTTGACTTTTCATCAAATTTGCCGGAGGCAGAGGCAGTAGAGGTGACCAACGGTGCTATTCGCATCCGCCGACCGGCGCAAGCTTTCAGAATTCTGCGTCTTTTTGGTGAATGTATTTCGAATATATCGATGTATGGTGGCGTTATTCCCAAGAACAAATACATTCTAGCCTATATCAACGAATACTGTTCAGACAGCCTGAAATCACTCACACTAAGAGGTCAAAATTTCACGCATGCAGACACGAAAAAGCCATACAAAAATGTTGAAAAGGTTTCAATCGGATTTGGAACGATAGAATTTGAGGCATCGCAATTCAATGACACTTTCCCAAAGATGCATCGTTTGGAATTGCGTTCTAATCGTTATTTTAATCACAAGATGTTTGCCGGTAAATTTCAGCAAGTTGAGCACTTGGTGCTAAATTGGTGCGATAGACTCACAACAACCGACGTGAGAAAGATCATATGTCTAAATCCTCAACTACAAAGTTTAAGCATTTATGGTGTCTACAGTTTGAAATTTTGGGACTACGCCAGCAAGCAGTTGAAACAACTTAACGCTCTGGAGCTAAACTATGACGAAAATCGTTTCCGAAATTACCCAGCTGAACCGATCCGATTTGAAAGTGTCGAAACGCTCAAATTGAACATACCCCGAAGTCGCAATAAGTGCAAGCCAAAGGAAGTGTTCACTTTCAAACAACTCAAAGAGTGTACATTAGTCGGCGGTTTAGATGATTCATGGGTTAATTTTGCCATCGGGCATCCAACAATTGAAAAACTCAAAATCATCATGCTGTACCCATACTCAAGATTTCTCACTGAACATCAAATGGTGCAACTCGCTGCAAATCTCCCGAATCTGATTGAATTGTACATGACTCAGTGCTTGTGTTCCGTGAATGCGGCAATTCGTTTCTTGAACGAAAGTCAAACTGTCCACAAATTTTCATTGACAGTTTCCGATAAAGATGACATGGACGAGCTTTACTCCAGGATCACCCCGGAATGGAACGCAACCAAAATGGACGAGCTAATTGTGGTTGAAAGAAAGGAGTAGTTTTGGATGTTTTCACTCATGAATAGTTTTCAACTTGGAATGCCTTCTGCATTCGGACTATGCTTACATACAAATTGAACAAGATACACACATATCCAAGTACCAAATAAGTTGGTAGCTTTAACAGTTTAATCAATATAATTGTAACACTTTCATTCACATGAAGTGACTATATCATTAATACAGTAAAATTACTGCCGAAACAATTGTTCAAATCTAAGCAAATAGCCACATTAGAGCCGACACTTTGACTTTCACCTTTGGCAACCACCTTTTTCTACTTAATTTTTTAATAAAATTCAATTCCTGACTTTTACAAACAGAAAACGGATCCGCTTTAATTTCTAAAGCAAGGAAAATTGAAACAATGATAAGATTGGTGTGAACATGAGCAAAAACCATGTCATCATAAGGTGAGTACTGCGCTGATATTAGCGTGCTTTTGGGAAAAAATTGTCCGAAAGAATTCAGTAAGAACGGCCTAATAAATCATCTCTAATACATATCGTTTACGGCGTTACGGCATTACGGCTCATCGTTGGTTGGGCTGTATTAGATTTATAGCCCCTGTTAACTCAGCAGTGTCGAGAACACCAAAATAGAATTGAGACTGTTACTACCGTTTTCGCTTTTCAACACGCATAAGAAATTTTTCAAGGTTAATTACTTACAATTTAGATCATTTGCTCGGGAAAAGATTTTACCAATATATATCAAATGGTGACTTTCATTCGAAACTTGCAATAATAAAAAAAAATACGAAATTCATTTGAAGACCGACCTTGTTTGATACATTTAAAATATTCACTTAAAGCTATTTTAGTCTAAAAAAAATTATCTTCGAAACTATCTCAGCCAAATCAGACTCGTTCAAAAAACCATTATACGTAGCCATAAACTGTTGGAACTGATTTCTGTTCAGTTCAGCAAATGGAATGTTAGCGAATGAATGTCCCAGTTGAGCTTTGAGATTTGCCGGTGTTTCTTCCAGGTTCTTTCGTTCGCATTCGGCTTTGGCCCAGGCCATGCACGCATCAACGCGATCCGAAGCACTGCACTTCGATGCCACCAACAGAATTATATTGTCGAGCGTGTCGCAATTGCATTCCAAAAAACTGGCCAATTTGAGGATTTCGTCTCCATGTTGTATGATCATCACCTCACAGAACTGCATCGTGTTTGTCAACTCGAGTAGAATGGCCAATGCATAACCAGAGCACATCTCGTCGATGGTGAATGACTTTTGCAATGGCTCTTCACAGAGCTTCAACGCTTCTGTAACCTCGTACTTTTTGCACAAAATAGAAACGTTGACGATGTGCTCGGATGTGAGTCGAACTTTGGTCAAATAGAAAAATTGCAGAAATTCCTTGAATGCCGCAGGAGATGCGTCAACAATCGAAATGTCACCTTGAACGGATGATGAACCATAAAACATCGTATCGAACACTGGACTGCTGATAGACAGGATGTTTTTGTGAGCTGGGACAGCTTCAACGTAATCAGTTCCAGCACCGAATACAAAATTCACATCGGCCGTCTTCGGATCCAAATACAACTTTTTAGAGTGGTTCTGAATCAAGTGACTGTCCTTTCTAAACACGGTATTGGCCATCGCTGTTTTGGATAATAGAAAAATAAGTTTAGAATCGAAGTAAGCCCATAAGCCAAAGCAACTTAAAAAAAGATATTTTTGTCTACAAAGTTTTACATGAGTGTACTTACTACCTACTTTCCAGAAAAAACTTTCGATTTTCTCAAGGTGGTGTTATTAAACAAAAAAGTGTTGTGAACATTTGTTGTGAAATTGCTTGTGTTGCGAATCGAATAGCTGTTGTGTACAAAGAAATTTCATTGTAATTGAGTCCTTTTGACATATCTCATAACCTGAACTCAATGAACATTAAACGCGTTCAGTGAGTCTGTTCAAGTTTTAATTCCAAAAATACTTTTGTATTGTATCGATTCAAATCTCTATCAGAAAAGTGACTATGGAAAATGAGGAAAATAGCTTATACTACATTTCAACTACTGAAATTGTTTCTGTTCTAACATAGACAATTTTGTCTTCAAAATAAATTTTTCATTCGGAATTCGAATTCTATTCCGAATTCATGTTGAATTGAAGTGCAGAGCGCACTCTGTTTGGATGATAACATTGTACATGCAATAACACGTCATATCACGCAGAGCTACTCATAAAACAAAATGACATAGACTACAGCATATCATTGAAAAGTTATTCAGATCATAATTTACAAAAATTTCATTGAATTTGTGGATATTTCTTTGTATTTATTGAGATTAATATCAAAAGTGAGCTCTACCAAATCATTAAAGTTCAATCGAAATCGAATTTATCAACTCAAGAACGAAGACTGTAAAATTTGTTGGGAATTTCACAACGAGTGTCTCCGCTGGTGAACAGCAATTGCGCAATAAGTCTTTTGAAGCAGCCATTTTTAGGGTATGAATCATTTGCTGACAAAAACACTTCTCTTGTTTATTGTTCGTTCATCTTAATAAATTGCGCAGTATTGGAGTCGCATCGCACGTCAGTTATCAATTGAATTCTTCGCTTTTCCAGAACGATCATATGCGCAGCGTGAACTAGTAACCATGCTTTGGGAACAGAACGATGAAGTCAATAAGTCAGCGTTCGAGAAACTGAAGGACGACTGCTGCTACGATATTCTGCGCCGGATGCCACTAGATGACTTGTGTGCCCTCAGTGGTACCTGTACTCGATTGCACAGTTTGTGCGGCAAACAGTTCTTAGAAAAATATCCATCAAAGGTCATGCGCATCGATTCGATTCAAGAAGACGGCACATGGATAAAAGAGCCACGCGATGAAATGTACATCAAGTGTTTTGACAAAAGCATTCGAAATGTGATCCTGAACGGTGACGGCCTAAAAACAAAGTTAGACGTAGTCAATGAATTCTACAAGGGCAAAGAGATGGAGGGTGTTGTGAAGGAAGTTCACTTCAACAATTGGCGCAGATTGGATGGTGCTGGTATCAAACTTGTCGACATGTTGAAATCCGCTGAAATCATCACCATCGATTATTCTGCTATCGTCGAGGATCCGTACGATGGCATTTTCAAGTATGCACCAAATCTGAAACACTTGAGAGTTCGATATTTGAATTTCACAGGCACCGACTGGTTGCAACAACGATACGCCAAACTTGAAAGCCTCGAGTGGCATTCACCTTCGCAGCGTCCAGATGCTGACAAAATAAAATCGTTGCTTGACACCAACCCAAACATTCTACGATTCTCACTTTTTTGCACAAATGTGGATGACATCGTTCAATTGATGGCAAAGGATGTGAAAATTGACGAACTGTTCGTTCATTTGGATTCTGGTTTAAGTGGAGGTGCGTTAACTGCTAATGACATCCAAGTAGATTCCACGATGAATATTCTGATGAAGTTGCTCACTGTTCAAAATGTGAACTTGCATCTGGTGGTTTCCAAAGCTGATATCATTTCGCAACTGGCATTCCTTCATTCAAACATGTTTGGTGTTTATTTCAACGTTTCCATTGACGAGGTGCTTACCACAATGTATACGTTCGAAAATCTCCAGTTTTTGCGGATCACAGCATCACATTTACCGTTTGCACACACCGATTTGATTGCAAAGATGCCCAACTTGACTGAATTGTACATCGACGAAATTTCATACTTCAATTTCCAAAAATTTCATCGCAATATGTTGGCTGCTGTTGGTCAATTGGTGAAACTAAGGAAAATCTTTCTTAAGGGTTTCACAAACCAGCTCACGAAAATCGATTTTTTAGCATTGGACCAGGAACGCATGGATCTTCATGGTGCTGCCCATTTGAAGATTTACATCCATTCAAAGGACTTTTTCGCCAATTTCCCACTCAAGTTTGTTGAATTCGTAACGATTGAAATTGTTGCAGCTGAAACTGAACCGTCCAGCTATCCATTTTTCTCGATGTTCGGGCATAATTCATTCTTCTCCGAAATAAAGGGGATTGGGCATAACATTATCGCGAATAGCAGTCGTGCTAACGATGGTTTCCGTAAAAATCACCATCCAGCCGATACCTGGCAGAATTGGAGATGTAGCCAACCAGATTGGCCATCCAGTGATGACGAAGATGATCACAATGTTGATGATGATGATTTGGATGAACAAAACGGCGCAAGCAATTTCCAATATGATTACACTGACTTGCTTGATGATTGGGGTGATCAACTGGCTGGGCCGAGTGGTGCAATCGAAACGGTTGAAGTGGACGATGGTGATTGGGAGGATGATCAGGCTGAACCGTGTGGCGCGAGTGGTACAAGTAGAGCGATTGTAGCAGATAATTCAGACTGGTCCGACTAGTAAGATTTCTGACAAGAAAAATTGGCCATTTCAAATCCAAATATTCAACAAGAAATATTATGATCTCAAAACAAAAAAAAGCATCAAAACATTCAGATCTCAAAATATCCCTATTATTCGTATTCATAATCAAGCTAAGAATTTAAGGACCTCATTTTTATATATTTAATAATCCATTAGTTTAATTTTTTTGCTCAGCAATTTACATCAACTCGTTTTCTATACATATGTATATGTTCCATATGGAACAGGAATAGACATGATTTTTTGAATATATATTTTGATTTACACTTTCAAACCAACAAATATTCTTTATCGTTTTTCTGTGTCTTTTCTTTGACTTCAGCATTTACCTCATTTTTCTTGTGAACCTAATCAATGGACTCTAAGCTTCATTCGAGCACAATGCAAATTCCTTGTTACTAGCTCATAACTTTTTTTGGGTGAGTAATTCAATAAGATTTGTGGAATGACGCTCATTAAATGTTACTCGCAAAACTATGGGCCATAAGCTGACAATTTGGAGCAAGATAAATCTGAAGACATAGACTCGATCCGTTTAGTTTTCGTTAGCATGCATCCATCGTTGAAAACTTTACAGCCTTGGAAATATGCAATTTCAAGTGATGATCTTGATTCTATTTCATTTTTCTAATATGATTCCACGGCTAATAAATGAATTATTAAAGAAAAAATGTCAGTATAAAATGAAAAATCTCTTTAATTCTGAAAATCACTTTTTAGTTTACCACAAAACTGTCAGGAAAAAAACCATACCAATAGGTCTAAATTTCAAAAATGACTCAAGTAGTTTCTAACAAAACAATATTTTTTTTCTTCAAAGATTTGTGTTTGAATTTGATGAAAAATCGGGTTTAAATAAAACGTCTCATTACATATCGACTTACCTATTACTTTTTAGTTTAACGTTTCCATCCATAAGCTATTTATGAAATATAGAAGAAAATATAAGATAAAACTCGTGTTAAAATCTCGTTGAAAAAGTAAAACTTCAAGTAATCAATCACCGATTGGATGTTGGAACACAAGCATTTCTTAAGGTAATCACCGACGAAAGATTTTTTGATTGTATCTTTGATTATTCTTTGATTTGTATTTTTTACATAAACGATGTTTCAAGTCAGATTGCTGAAGTTCTAATTAAAGACATATGGAATTTATTTGATGGATGAACTTAACATATTTTGAATTACACAAAAAATTGTAATAAACTGACTTAATCTGTAACATATCAATATTGAATCTATGCGAATTGAGCAGATGTTAAGCCTAACAAAATCTAGTTGTATTTTATTTTAATACAGTAGAACCTCGATTATCCGTCCTCCCATTATCCGTCACCTCCGTTAACCGTCATACATTTTCAAGGTGGAAAAGTTTTTGTTCAGTTCATTTTTCAGTTTATTTCACTTGAACATACGAATAAAGTTGCCAACTAACTTTCATAATCAAAATCAATTGTGTGCCGCTTATACATTCGCACAATAAGATTTGAAATCAGAGGTTTTGCGTTTTCGGTGCACTTCTTGTATATACAAGATTGTCCAATATATTGAACAATGCACCAAATCTGTTCTCATCGATTATCCGTCTTTTTCAATTATCCGTCAAGGCTCTGGTCCGGTGCCTGACGGATAATCGAGGTTCTACTGTAATCGGAAATGTTACGGTAAATGGAGTGAGAATGAAAAATTAGCATAGATAAAGAGGATTATCTCTTGGGTATTGAGCTATTGAATTGGTCAAACTATTTCGATGTTGAATGACATTGACTGATCTCAGGGATTTTGAAAAACTAGTCGTGATACCGGTCCGTAAGGGTTTGTAAAGCAGATTTGACCGCCATCTTGCAATTCAACGGTTCCAAGAAATTCCATCGGGTTTGCACGGACGTTTTTAGAGTCATCAATTCGAAATTCATATTTAACATTTATTTCGATTGCAATGGGTTCCTTAAGAACAACGTAATATTCATTCCGCTGATTAGATGTCATTTCTACGCTAGAGCGTAGTAGTTCGGTTCCACGGTAAACTGATGCACGCACGTCTTTCATCAGACCAGAATTTCCAGATATTCCACCGCAATGAATTTCGGTCAACAGAAGACTTTTGGTTGAACTGAAGAATGATGATAGTGTATCAAAACTACAGTCATCTTCGTAGAGTTGAAGTTCACAATGATTCTGAATTTGACGATCACAATCCAAAGCAGATGCTCGTTCAATGGCCTTCAAAGTAATTGCAGTCAAATCTGATTCGTTCAAAAGACCACTGTAGTCAGCCAAAAACTGATCGAATTGTTTTCTGTTCAATTCAGCAAATGGAATGCGACCGAATAATTGTCCCAG